TATAGCCCCCCCTGAGGGAGACAACAGAAATGTGGGTGAAGGGAGACATTAGTGTAACAATAGTAACAATATGTAATTAAAGTTTGTGAGGGCTGGAGGGTGGGGGGCGGAGGGAAAAAGAGAAATGAAACACACACACACAAAACATTGATAAGAAGGGAGGTAAGAAAACGCCCAAAACAAGAGGTACAAGATGACATTAGAGAGTCCACACATGGATTTAATAGCTGTATATCAATGGATTAAACTAGCCCATTGAAAGATTAGCAGACTGGCTTAGAAAACAACCCATTCTGTTGCCAACAAGGGACACATCTCAAGTTTGCAGACAAAAATAAGCTGAGAATCAAATGCTGGAGAAAAATAAACCAAGCAAATGGCAATTCAAAGAAAGCAGGGTTTGCAATCCTAATCTCCAAAAAAATTTATCTCAAGGGGAAAGCCATAGCAAGATATTAGGGGCATTATATAATGATCAAGGCAACAGTCAACCAAGAACCAATGGGTAAAATAAATATAAACACACCCATTAAGAGACCCGCAAAATTCACCAATCAAATGTTCCAAAAGATGTTAAAAAACGGAATGGAGACCCAAAGCCCATTTGTAGGCCACTGGACATCCCCTTACAGAAGGGTCTTGGGGAGGAGACGAGCCGGTCAGGGTGCGATGTAACGACAATGAAACATACAACTTTCCTCTGGTTCCTAAATGTTTCCTCCTCCCCCACTATCATGATCCCAATTCTACCTTACAAATATGTCTAGACCAGAGGATGTACACTGGTACAGATAGGAACTGGAAACACAGGGCATCCAGGACAGATGATCCCTTCAGTACCAGTGGTGTGAGTGGCGATACTGGGAGGGTAAGGGAGAAGAGGTTGGAAAGAGGAAACCAATGACAAATCTACATGTGCCCTCCTCCCTGGGGGATGGATAACAGAAAAGTGGGTGAAGGGAGACGTCGGGCAGGGAAAGATATGACAAAATAATAATGTATAAGGTATCAAGGGTTCAAGAGGGAGGGGGGATCAGGGAGGGAGGGGGAAAATGAGGAGCTGATACCAGTGGCTTAGGTGGAGAGCAAATGTTTTGAGAATGATGTGGGCATGAATGCACAAAAGTGCTTTACAGAAGTGATGGATTGTAATAAGAGTTGTATGAGCCCCTAATAAAATGATTAAAAAATAATAATAAATTTTTAAAAAGAAGGAAAAGGAAATCACAGGCTCAACAATCACAATAGGTGAATTTAATATACCACTCTCTGAGAAAGACAGATCACAAGGAAAGAAGATTAACAAGGAGGCTATGGAACTACACAGTACAATTAGGTGACTTGATCTAATACACATTTTTAGAGTTCTTCAATCAAATGCAAAAAATCCACATTCTTCTCAAGCCCACATGGCACACACTCAAGGACAGGCCACGGTGCTGGGGAACAAGGAGAGCCTGAGTAAATTCTAGCACATACAGGCCACTCAGACTTCCCTCTCAGACCACTATACCCTAAGGCTGGAATCCAACAAAAGGACGCATATGAAAACAAGGTCAATAACTCTGTACTGGAAAATGAGTGGATACTAGCCCATATCAGAGACAAAATTAGCAAGTTTTTAGCAACCAACGAGAATGAGAATATGATGTACAAAAACCTTTTGTACACAACAAAAGCAGTTATCAGAGAATGTTTAATAGTAATGTACACATGAAAAAGGCAGAGAGACGATTGAAATACTGGCAGAAAACCTCCAGCAATTAGAGCAGAGTCAACAAAATAATCCCATGAAAAGCAAAAGAAAAGAAATAAAACTCAGGGCTGAGATACAAGAGGGAAAACAAAACAATTCAAAAAATCAATGTAGCTAAAAGCTTGTTCTTTGAAAGGATTGACAAAATTGATAGACCACTGGCAAACCTAAGCAAAGAAATGAAGGAACAAATTTCAACAGCAAGGATGACGGATGAAACAGGGGACATTACAATGGACACTAATGAAATTAAAAGGATAATTACACAGTACTACAAAAGCCTCTACTCCAATGCATAAAACAACTTGGAAGACATTAAAAAGTACTTGGAAAAACAATACTTCCCTAGACTATCCCTGATGGATGTCAATAACCTCAATAGAATCACAGCAATAGAAGAAACAGACAAGGTTATCAAGGTATTACCAAAAAAAAAAAATCCCCAGGCTAATCAGCTTCACAGGAGAGTTCTACGAGGCCTGCAGGGAGGAACTGACACCAATCCTACAAAAATTCTTCTAGAGCATAAAAAAAGACAGCAAACCCTCAAACTCTTTCTATGAAGACAGAATAACACTGATACCTAAGGTGGGAAAGGATTCCACAAAAATTTAGAACTACAGGCCAATAGTTCTAATGAACATCAATGAAAAAATCCTTAGCAACATATTGGCGAATAGAATACAAAAGTATATAAAACGAATAAGTCATCGTGATCAAGTGGGATTCATTCCAGGGATGCATGGATGGTTCAACATCTGAAAGTCCATCAGCATTATTCACCACATTGACATCAAAAAGGATAAAAACCACATAATATCGAAAGATGCAGAAAAAGCATTCAACAAAATCCAAAACACTCATTCCTATTCAAGACACTGAAAAAGATAGGAATGGAAGGAAAGTTGCTCAATATAATTAATACAAGCTATATATGAAAAGTCAACAGCCAACAAGGTAGACCACGGAGAAAAGACAAAAGAATCCCACATAAAAAGGGACAAGTCAAGTGTGCCCCATCTCCCCATTTTTATTTACTGTTGAATTGTAATTAAAATCCCTGATCCCCCAAATGGTCTATGATTTCACTGGAAAATTCTACCAAACACTTCAAGAAAATTCAACATTAGCTCTAATAAAATAAAGTAAAAATCAATGAAGAGAGATACTATGTTTAAAAACTGGAAGACTCACTAAAATAAAGATGTCAATTCTCCCAAAACTGAGACAAGTTGGGGGGGGGGGAGAGTGCTTTTAAAAAATATGCCTATTTTGACTCCAACCTAGATGTAGGAACCATCTAGATGTAATAATATGGGTGAAGTACAGATATATATTATTTAGGCGGGGACCCTCAAACCCCACCCCAGGTTATTTTGATTTGTAGTTAGCCTCCTGAAGCCCTGGCAGCATAGCGGTTATAAGTTGGACAGCTAACCAAAAGCTAAGAGTTCAAAACCACCAGCTGTTCAGCAGGACAAAGATGAGGCTTTCTACTCCTGTACAGAATTAGAGTTTGCGGCAGGTGCCAAACCCAACCCAGGGATACGTATGGCAGCCAACTAAAAAAGGAGGGGAAAACAACAACAAAAATGAGACAGGGGTATATGAGAAAAAGTGCACTAATCCACCCAAAGGGAGGGTGTTGTTTATATCTCCAAAATAGAGTGGGAAAGTGACCAGACATCAACCTGGTGCTCCAAGATGTGAATGAAACAAAGTCCCCAAGGAATGCAAAAGCGGACTTTAGGCCCAGGGAATGACACCCCAGCGGACTCGACTGGAAAACACTCATAAAGGTTAACAGACAGACCTGGAACTGTTTGAGGGCTTTTCACTTTTTGCTACTGTTTTATTTATTTATTTAGTTGTATTAGTTGTTTTATTTTTTGTTATACTTTGCTTTCTTTATGCATGTATTATTGTCTATGCATGTCTATCTGGACAAGAATAGATGGTATGAAAAATCCAGAGGAGAGAACAATTGTACCGATGGTTCCAGGAGGACACGGGAGAGGGGGAGGTGGGGTAAAAGAACGGAGGTGCCAACAAACCCAAGGACAAGGGAAGAATAAGTAATCTAAAATTGATGGTAAGGAGGGAATAAGATGCTTGGAGGGGAAAGGGTTCGATCAAGGACAATGTAGCCGAGATGAATTATCAAAACCCAAATGAAGGGTGAACATGATAGTGGAACAGGAGGAATGTAAAAAGAAATAGAGGAAAGAAGTGGGAGTCAAAGGACATTTATAAAGGTCTAAATACAGGCATGTATATGTAAATATATTTATAAATAGTGATAGGGGATTAGATCTATGTACATATTCTTATCTATAAAATATTACGGCAGCAGATAGACATTGGGCCTCCACTCAAGTACTCCTTCAATGCAAGAACACTTCATTCTACCAACACAGCACTCTGTGATGTTCACCTTCTCTGACAATCGCTGAAAACAAAATGGGTGCATACACTAATGTGGTGAAGAAAGCTGATGGTGCCCGGCTATCAAAACATATAATGTCTGGGGTCTTAAAAGATTTGAAGATAAATAAGCAGCCATCTAGCTGAGAAGCAAAAAAGCCCAAATGATGACACACCAGCCTGTGTGATCATGAAGTGTTGATGAGATCGGTATCAGGCATCAAAGAAACAAAACAAAACAAATGAAACAAAACCTTATCAATGGGAATGAGGGGGAGGGCAGAGCGGAGACCCAAAGCCCATCAGTTGTCAATTGGACATCCCCTGTCAGAACGGCCACAAGGAAGAGACGAGCCAGTCCAGGGTACAATGTAGTACCAATGAAACACACGACCTTCCTCTAGTTCTTTAATGTTTCGTCCCCACCTCCCACTATCATGACCCCAATTCTACCTTGCAAATCTGGCTAGACCAGAACATGCATACTGGTACAGATAAGAACTCGAAACACAGGGAATGGACCACTCAGGACCAATAAGGAAAGCAGCAATACTAGGAGGGTAAAGGAAGGAGGGGAGGTAAGGGGCAACCGATCACAATAATTGATATGTGGCACCCATCCCAAGGGGATGGACAGCAGAAAATTGGATGAAGAGAGAAAGTGGTATGACAGGGAAAAAAGAATGATTTATAAATGATCACGGGGACATGACAGAGGGAGGGTGGGGAAGGGAGGAAGGAAAAAATATGAGCTGATACCAAAGGCTCAAGCAGAAAGAAAATGTTTTGAAAAAAATGATGACGACAGAGTCGCACAAACATGGCGTCTTCCTTCGTGGCCGGAGAGTGCTTGGTTCACGCTTTAGGCCCTGGCGGGGAACTAGAGCCTGAGAAACTGCCCCGAAAGCTACGGGCCGAATTGGAGGCCGCAGTGGGGAAGAAACACAAGGGCGGTGATAGCCCGCGTGGCCCCGAGCGCCTGGTTTCCTTCCGTCTGATCCGAGATCTGCACCAGCACCTGAGGGAGAGGGGCTCCACGCTCTATCTCCATGAGCTCCTGGAAGGCAGTGAAATCTATCTCCCAGAGGTGGTGAAGCCTCCTCGGAACCCAGTTAGTCGCCCGGTTGGAGAAGATTAAGATACAGCTGGCCAACGAGGAATATAAGCGGATCACCCGTAATGTCACCTGCCAGGATTCCAGGCATGGTGGGACTCTCGGTGAACTGGGGAAACAAGTGAGGTCAGTGAAGGCTCTGGTCATCACCATCTTCAACTTCATTGTCACGGTAGCAGCTGCCTTTGTCTGCGCTTACCTCAGAAGCCAGTATATATTCACAGAAATGGCTTCGCGGGTGCTGGCTGCAGTGATCGTGGCCTCTGTGGTGGGGCTGGCCGAGCTGTATGTCATGGTGCGAGCAATGGAAAGCGAGTTGGGAGAACTCTAACCGATGCTTCATGGACAAATTCTGGAAAAGGTTTGGCGGGCTTCGTTCAGACTCACAACTACCGACTGACTCTCTTTCAGCCTAGCCAGCTCTTTGTTCTAAGCTCAGTATGTCCAAGGGCCAGGCCACCTGCTGTTCCTGTGAAGAGCCCATCCCCATGAGTTTCCAGAGGGGACTCAGGCAGCGGATCTTCAGTCACAAAGAACTGGCCTGTCAGTTCCGTACCCTGAATCTGGTGCTCCACTTTCTTGTCCAGTCCTCTCTGAGCACCGTTGTGACTGTTTTTGTTTTCCGCGGGGAGTGAATGGATTCCAGGCCTTCCTAGAAGTACACCAGACGGCCATGAACTTGCCCAAATGTACAAACCAGTTGTCATCCTTTGTGCACATGTCCCCAACGCAGACGTGGCATTGTAGTCAGAAGAGTTCCCCAAAGCGGGATCTCCTCTCTCTGGTTTGTGCTGAAGGAGGGTCTGGCCAGAGGGTACTGAACTAGAGAAAGGAATTGGTGCAGGAAGGTGAAATTAGAAGGACGGCAGCTACCTTTTTAAAATTGTAGTTTTCACCTTCATCCTTCTCTTCTGTCAGCCTGCCCTCACCACCACCCCCTTTTGTGACATGTTTCTGTCACTTCCCAACCCTAGTCTGTGCTCACCCATGCTCCATCCCATCACCCTTTGCTCTGCCTCCAAAGCGCCAAGCAGTCCAGTTGACAAACAGTACGTCTGCTTTAAACGGCAAGATTCTGTGTGTGCGTGTGGCGGGAGGATTCTACCTACTGGGGGGTTGTTTCAATAGAGCTGTATTTTATAAGCGGGGACCATGTTCAGATACAACTCTAGATACAAATGTGTAGTGTGCATACTTAGACATAAGCCTAATGCAGGGTATCGTATGGGCGTTTTTAAAACAAAATGTGGGTTCATGCAGAAGATACCATGTGAATGGTCACAGTTGATGCCATTGCCGTACGTGGTTACCTTCGGTCTTCACAGTCAGTCCGCAAGGTTGGAAATGGAGCCAGTGTAGGTCCTTTTTCTAAAAGACAGCATGGGCCGAGAGACACAAGTGACCGCTGCCTGGTCCTTCATACGACACACGGAGGCACGAACTCCTAGAATGTCCTGGAGTCCCTGTCACGTGACTCTCCTCAGACCAGGCAGTGTTGTGATGACAGAACCCGCATTGGGCACTTAGAAGATCATGCACTGGAGTTATTTGTTCAATAAATGTTGATTGCAAAAAGAAAAAAAAAAGAAAAAGATGATGACACTGTATGTACAGATGTGTTTGACACAATGGATATATGTGTGGATTGTGATAAGAGCTATAAGAGCCCCCAATAAAATAAAATTAAAAAGAATTAGAGTTTCAGAACGTATAGAGGCTGTTGTACTCTTTCCTGAAGGGTCACTATGAGTCAAAAATAGCTTCAATGGCAGTGAATATGGTTTTACGAGAGCTAGCTTCCCCGCCACTATCCTTAGTCATGGGGGTGAAAGCCCTGTACTCTATCTGTCCACCAACTTAACATCAATTCAGTGCAAACGAGTCTATCAATCTCCTCTCAGACTTACCCACTTTTAGCCTACAGGTTACCATATGAATTTTCTTGATAAGAGGGATTTTAGCACATAATCAGAATAATGTATGAGGGGGTACCAAAGGGAAAAAAAAACCCAGAAAAAAGCTCCACTGGGTGGAGCTTTCATAGTACACATTTTTCCCACTAGATGAGCATCTAGAAACTTGCTGACTTAGTGTTGTTCCCAGTGGTGTCACCTGGGAAGGTTCTCTCTGGTCACAGTGAATTTTTTTGTAACAGGATTTTTGCTCGAACCTTGTTTTTAGTGATGGCCGATTTAAGAGAACAGCGTGCAGCTGTCAAATTGTGTCTCCTGCTTGGGAAAAAATGCTGCAGAAACTGTTGTGATGTTGAACACAAATTACAAGGACAGCACTGTGGGAAAAACGCAAGTGTACGAGTGGTTTTCTCATTTCCACAAAGGTAAAAAGTCGAGTGATGACAAACCTTGTTCTGTACATCCGTCAACTTCCCAAATGGATGAAAATGTCAACTGGCAATGTATTTGGAGTTCGTTCCTGTAGACCAGACTGTTAATTAAGTTTTCTATTTAGAGCAGTGGTTCTCAACCTGTGGGTTGCGACCCCTTTAGGGGTCAAACGACCCTTTCACAGGGGTCATCCCATTCATAATAGTAGCAAAATTACCGTTATGAAGTAGTAATCAAAATAATTTTATGGTTAGGGGGTCACCACCACATTAGGAACTGTATTAAAGGGTCATGGCATTAGGAAGCTTGAAAACCACTGATTTAGAGTTTCTGAAAAGACAGTGAAACAATGTGTGACAAAAAAAGGCCTGATTTGTGGCAGACTGGGGACTGATTTTTCCACCACAGTGTACCTCCTCATCTAGCCATCCCAGTGCACCAGTTTTGGCAAAAAATGGCATGCCTCTCATGCCCCTACGCACCTTATTCAACTGACCTCACTCCATGGGACTTCTTTAAGTTTCCACGAATGAAGAGATAAATGAAAGGACAGTGATTTGACAACACAGAAGAGGTGAAGAAAAAAATGAGGTGCTGTCAGCCATCCAAACAAATGAGTATGAAAAATGCTTCCAAGAATGGAATCAAAGTTTTGATAAGTGTATTAAGTGTAATGGAGAGTCCTTTGAAGATGATAAAGTTGTTTTGTAAAAAAATTTAAATACACAGCTTTGGGGGAAAAATTCTAGGGTTTTTTTTGGTTACCCCTATTATTAGAAGTAGTTAGGGTTCAAGTTGGCACCCAGGTAAGCAGCCCATATGGGAGCTCTGGTGAGTATGGTGTCCAGGAGGTCAAGTGGAAGTGTTCTGGAAAGTGGAAAAATCCCATGAGGAGCCCTCCCTGTCCAGGAGTGGCCCTGCCCTGCATCTGATTTGTTCCAAGCCTCAGAGATCTGGGTCCATATACCAGGGATTTCCCGCTGTCTGTGCAACCTCTGTGTGCCTTGGTCACCATCAGCCAGTGTCCTCCACCTCCACCCCCTGGCCTAGTTGCCACCCCAGGAATGGGATGGCTATTGTGTAGAGCTCCCCAAGGCCGCACCAGACCACCACATAGCAACTGTCCATTCACGGCTCCCACCTGACGGAGCTGTTCCCGTTTCCCATAGTTCCCCTGCCTCCACAAGGAAAGGCGGCGATTCTGCCTGCAAGCTCTGGTCACTCCCAGCAGCCACGCAGGGCCTAAGTTGCAGCAAGTATGAATGACTGCAGCTGGGGGCATCCAGCACCAGTGACTAGGTTGCCTCCACCCACTGCACGGTTGCATGTACTGTGTTAACAAGGCACAGCCTCTGCCACTTCCAAGGCACCTCAGCTCATTGCAGCCCCAGCCACTCCCTGACCACACGGAAGGTCGCCCACACTTCCCGCCTACCATTTCCACAGCACTGCAGCTTCTGGTGGCCCCCACACCTCCCAGCCTAGCACACTGTGCCACGCCCTACCTCGGCCTGACCTGCGGGGAGTCAGAGTCACAGACTGGAGCATTACGTGCCTGCTGCGTACCGCCTCAGCCTGACCTGCAGGGAGTCGTAGTTGCAGACTGGGGCTTTGAGGGCCCACCGCACGCTGTGCTGCAGAGGCCTGAGCCACCGGGAGTTGGGGTCATGGACTGGGACCTTTCAGGCCTGCTGCACGCCACCCCAACCTGATCCATGGGGAGTCAGTCATGGATTGGGGCCTTGCAGGCCCACCACGCACTGCTTTGCCTGTAGCCACAGGGAGTCACAGAGTGGGTCCTTGCAGGTGCCCCCCGGAAAGTGCCGAGGCCTAGGGGCCACAGATAGACACTGCTTGGGTCTATCCCAGCTTGGGGATCATAACTGGCCCATCCCCTCCCAGCCCACCCAGGGAGTGGAACAGTAGAAAGTATATCCCTGGTCCAGAGGGTACACTTCCCCCAAATGTAGCCTATCTCTGGAACCCAGGGGACCAGTGACCCAATTCTTGGAGCTCCCCAGCTCAAGCTGGTCACACCACCTTAGACGCCAATGGGGCCACCACCTACCCATTGGCCCAGTATAGCCCTATCACTGTACTGGGAGTTATCCACCAGTCAAACTGATTTCCCCAAAGAGCTGTCCCCACGTGTGCTCGCAACGTTAAACAGCAGCCTGATCCACCTCCATAGTAGGCCACAGGCAGCCCTTGAAATCACCATTGACAGTCACACAGAGAAAGAACGCAGGGCCTCTTGGTCTCAGAAATATGGTGCCCAGCTCTTCGAAAAAATTACGTAAATAACAGCATACCGCATAGCTCCCAACAAGAAAACACAGGAGACAAACTACAACAGCAGAACTAACACTCGCAGAAGAATATGATGTGGATCTGCCACAAAAAGAAATTTTCAGAAGGCTGCTTGGAGTAATACAGGAGATGAGGGAAGCTACAGAGACCAAGGATCCAAAGTCAGAAGAGATAAAGTCCATTACAGAGGGAATGAAGTCCATGATAGAGGGGATGCAGTCCATACACCTAAAGGAAATACAGGAGCTAATGGATGAAGTAGCAGAAGGTGCACACAAGATCACATATCTCACAAACAGACTGGAGGCTGAGAACTGTACCAGTGATCTCGAAGATAATCAGGCAGACCTCAGCAAATGAGAAAGACAATCAAACAAGATAATAAAAGAGGCTGAAGAAAACCTGAGATAAATGACAGATGCTATGAAGAAGAACAGCATCCTAATTACTGGCCTACTGGAGAAAGACACAGCAGAGAAATCAACAGCGAAACTAACAAGGGAATTTCTGGAAGAAAATTCCCCACCCTATGAATGAGAATCAATCACTCATACAGGAAGCAGAGAGGACACCAATTAAATTAAACCCCAGGAAGAACTTACCAAGGCATATAATAGTTAAACTATCCAACTTCAAGGAAAAAAATCCTAAAAGCAATAAAAGAAAAGACGACAGTCACATACAATGGCTCACAAGTAAGAATATGCT